GCTGCAGATCTGCCACCGACGGGGGTCGCTTTATGAGGCTCGTAGGAGCGCGGCATTCCACGAATTGTCGCATTTCAGTGCCATCGGAGCAGGAAACAGATGAACCCGACGGAACGCTCTATTTCATTTCAAAGTACCAACCTTTCTATCATGACAGATCAAATATGAAAAAGACACCCAACCGAGAACTCTTATTCGGACGGGCTCTCCTTGGTACTCTCGCTCTGCAAGCCGCTCTCGACGTTCGCCGCCTCCTTTGTCCGGCCCTCGGACACGACCTTTCCCTCAAAGCCATAGCCCGGGTGTCCGATGAAGAGGGCGCAGGCCGCCAGCACGATGAGTCTGCACATAACAAGTCAGCATACCATGCACGCAACGGAAAAAGGCGGGGACGAAACGCACACTCCCTCGAGCCCGATGAAGAGACCTTCGTTGGTTATCTTGGTCGAGTTTTGATAGCCCTCGCTCAGCTCGTCGACACGGTAGACGCAGCGCACAAAGATGAGGACAATGGCGGCGGCGAGGCCGCCGAAGAAGAGACGCTGGCGACGACCAATGGCGCGGCTGGCGTCGGGCTTGACGCTGCGGATGTAGCGCCACATGTAATCGCCAAAGAAGACGCAGAAGGCGAAGAGCAGGACGACCTGCAGGATAAGTCCGGCGAGGGCGACGTCGACTCCGATATTGTTGGAGCCGGCCGAGACGGAGGAGATGGCGCCGCCGGCAGCCTGCAGGACGAGGCAGAGGATATCCGCGGTGATGAAGAAGATCCAGAGGAGGCGGGGTCGGATGCGGGAGATGTCGGGAGCGAAGAAGACGATGGCGCGGGCGAGGGTCACGTAGATGGCGGCCGTGAAGAAGACGGGGCCAAAGGTGATGAAGACAATCTGGATGAGGAAGGCGCCGAAGGACCAGGGATTGTTGTAGAGGAGCACACGGCCAACGTAGCCGATGACTTCGGCGAGGCACCCGGCGGCCATGAACGAGGCGAACCACCAGGTGCGCCAGCGGAAACCCAGATAGACATGGACGAGGAGAGCAAGAAAGTAGAGGATGATGAACATGATGGAGACGCCGAGGATGGGGCGGTACTGGTAGACCGTCCACTCGATGGGACAGAGGTCGAGGGTGCAGTTGGCACCGGGGCCGTATGTGTTGAACATGCCAATGAAGACATACGAGCCGTTGTCGAGGCGGTGGATGTACTGTGGCGGGATGTCCCCAAAGTCGGCGGGATTCGTCGTGGCCATGGTGTCTGCCTGGTTGGGGGTGGCTGGTGATATCTCGATTGACAGGGTCTGGTGATGGCGATAGCTGGTGCAGGCGTTGTGGGAAGGAAGCTGTCGTGCTTAAGAAGCCAAGCACAGCAAGAGAGACAAGACTCGACGGTTGAGGGAGTTTGGCGATTTATCTGCAGCTAGGCCAAGCCACATGGAGTAGGCAGCAACAAAGATAATAAGTATTCTTATAAATACCGCTTCAACTTGGTCCAACACGGAACTCAAACGTCTGACCCGCACGCCAGGGTTGCATATTGCAGTGCATTCGTCATCATACGGCGTGTATTTGCTGACGAGACCTGCAGCCGATGGCTGGCGGCGCACCATGATGCCGTTTTCGATTTCTCCATGCGCATCCTTCGCCTACCTTAGGTACCTGGGTAGGTAAGGTATGTAGGTATATTCCTTTGACCGCTCGCACTCGCAACCGGGGAGGGGCTGCGCCTGCGCCAGATCAGCATGGAAGGCACCCTTAGCGGCAGGGTAGGTACGCAAGCTTCTAGGGCTGACGCGACCTGCCTTTTAGCCAACGAGGCAGTCAGGATCGATCTAAGGGAAGGGCACGACCAATCTACCACCCTTGTGCTCCACAACGTGGTGTACAGCAACGAGTAGGAGCACAAGCGGCTTCCTTCTGCGACGGTGCTGATTCCATCGCGGCGTCACAACGCGCCTGCCTTGGGGCCATGTGAGACTAGTGGCCCCAAGCTACGACTCTGCCATGTCGCTTTAGGAGGCTCTTTCCTCGGTGATCAGGATGGGCGGCGGGTGGGTGGCTGTTTCCCAGTGGCCCAGCGGTTTGGTGTCAGGCGCAGGTGGGGTTCTGCCTGCCGACTCAGATCCGTGCTGCCAATCGGTTTGCCGTCTGGGCGATTAGGCGAGAGCGACGCTTGGCGCACGTTACCAAGCTCATTCTTCCGTTCGTGTCAGCGCGCCCTGGGGCGATGGATGATCGGCGCCCTATCTTAGTGGGAACCTACCTAAAAGTAAGTCCACGTCGTCTGTGCGAGTGCGAGTGCGGTGCTGCTGGCAACCAAGGCAGGATCGAACCAAACACGCGCCCCCTTCCGCTTGTCCTGCTTCTGCTTCCAATCTTTGCGCTCGAGTCAATTGCGCAATGACTTTGGAGCGGCAACTGCGACTGCACTGCGCTCGAGGTAGGCTGCAACTTCGGGGCGCGGACGGCGCATTCGGCCGCAGACAAAAGTTCCCTGAAATCGATCGTTTTCAAACTCAGCTTCCGCGTCGTCCCCTATGCTGCGCCCGCACTTTACTATCCCAACATCGCTTCGCTTACCTCAAAGGCACGCCAGGCAGTTCGGCCCATCTCGCCCAGCCACGCTATCCCCAGAAGGGTTGCAACGTGCGCCGGGCCCAACGCGACGCAATGTTCTCATCATGAACTCCCAGACTTACCCCCCCCTTTCTTTTTCCTTGTGGTTCGAAAAAGGTACGTACCATAAGGAAGCGCTCGTCGTCGGAATCATCTTTATTTCTGGGTTATTCTCTCGAGCCATCCCCGGGTCAATCA